TTACACACAGCGTTGTGAAATGGACGGACTGAATGAATGACTTGCAAATTCAATTAGGGGGAAACTTTAACAATTATGTGTTAAACAAAACCAAAATAAACGGGGTACATGTGAAGAGATCTGGAAAAAAATGTCCCCATATCATGTAATTGAATTGGCCAATCAACGCGAAATGCCCGTTCACTCGTGAATGGGGAGTTTTGTCTGTCTGATTAGTACAACTTCGTAAAGGATTTTCCAAAAAAAAGAAGAAAACCCAACAACTGTGAATGAAAGTAATTGCAAAGTAAATGAGAGAGAAAAAACTCCACACAATGGCGTTCGTGTAATCGACTGAAGTTTGTGATTCTGGTAAGCACAGTGCATCAATCTGATCACTACCTTCCCGCTGTAGCGTAGGTGTTTCCTACTAGAGTGAGAGAACGAAAAGCAAACATTCGGGGCTATAACCGAGTTGATGAACCAGCACTGGCAATTCACCTAGGGGAGTTGGTGAAAAATTCTGATTCTAAACCAACCAAGAAGAGTCGTTCGAAACCCACACACCACACTTTCCTGGTCGTGGTACGAGTCACCGGCTCGATTGGGTATCGAGGTGTATTGGGCACCTTGGACGTTTGATCCCGTTCAAAGGGCCTATGATCCGATGAACCGAACATCGGCCTTCAATGGATTGCGGTTTTTGCACACCTCCCGGCTACCTTGCGGAGCACGCTTTGGTTAGCCGAAGGCTCCGGTCTTGGACTTCTCAAGAAAATTCACCTGCTTGGCCTGGGAAACCTGGCAGTATTCCATCCACATGCAAATCGTGGAACGTTTTCTTTTCTTTTCTCATAACGATTATTGCACCATGATTTGTTTGGCACACAGTCTAGCTTCACGTGTGTGTGAACTATACTAAACTATACTGCGTTCGAAAGGGTAGCATAAATCTTTTGAGATAAATTAGGCTGTTGATACGAATTCGGACATCGATCGTTACAAACTCAGTTCTAATCAGGGTACACAATCCCTAGCGTTGCAAATTCACGTGGCAATTTCGGTTCCTGTAGCTGACCGGCTCGTTTCGAGGAGGAACGATGAGATGAAGGACAGTTGGAAACTAAGAGCAATATCGGGGTAAAGATATCAGATGCGATTAAACTAAACTTGCTAAATTTGTACATTGTACAAATGTTTCAGCTTTGAGTTGAACAAACCCATAACAGACAACTGAGCCATGAACTGGGTTGTGAAAAAGTGAGTCAGAATGCTTTGTTTAGTCTCTCTACAAGACATGCGGAGCACAATCCTTCTTAACACGTTGACTGTGAACTCATTTTAGCTTGTAAAGTTCAGTTCAGTTTATACAATTATTAACCATGCACGCTTTCGTGCGCCTGTTTTGGGTTTCTAACCTTTGGCTGTCCATTTGGATGAACATTAGGAGGAAGACAGGAAAGGTTGAAAATAGGATCAAAGGGAAAATTCAGAATTTCAGTGGACTAATGTTGCAAATAAATTGAGAAGATGCGAGAACGTCACTATTTACGACATTCAGTCATATCACTCAGTGTCTCATCGGGTACGATCATCCCGAGGCCCCCAGTCAGGGAGTCAAACGGGATCTATGTGACCCAGTCCCATGATCAGGGTTTTAATAATCTCATGCCAGGTCTTAGCTTGACCACCATTGGCTTTATTTCACTCACTATTTGCCTCGGCAAACGTCGCTTGCCATGACAACGTATTTGCTGACATGCCCCAACCAACGTAATCTATGAAGGCTGACCACTTGCTCCTCCAGTGGGTGACCGCATTTACCTAAAACTCTGCACTTAACCTCAGCCGGTAAAGGATAGGATTCAGCCGAAAACCTTGTACACAGAATGTTTGAAACTGACTCCCAATTAGATTTGACACGTCACATCGGCAATCCGGACACCAAAATGTTTATTCCATTTTTCGTCCCATCACAGTCTTTTTTCGAAATATGGAGCACGAACACAAACCAGAGAGTGAATAAGAAAAATGATGGCGGTGATGACCCAGTGGTGGTAACGTCACCAAATTATCACCCCGGAGGACGAGAGTTCGAATCCCACCACCGCCACCGCCGCCTAACTTTCCCTATTTGTCTGTGTTGTATGGTAGCCCTTTGATTGTTCATCTGCCCCTTCCTGAAAATTGTATCTTTGTATATATTCAATGAAACGGAGATAAAAATGAAAAGAAAAAAAAAGAGAGACACACTTACGATGGTTGACATTGGTGATGGATTGTGGACGAGTGTTTGGAACTCAATGTGCTCCCAGACATCAGAGCAGACCACAGACCGGCAAATTTGGAAGTTGAAGAAGATGCGGAACGGGGTCGCGGTCGAGTACGAGTCAGTCGATCAAATTCACGCAAACGGGTCGGACTGGGTGGATGATCGGTTTGTAATTCTAACGACAGACGATCGTGACTTTGCACCAATTCACCCGGTCGATCCAGTTGCGGTGGTAACGAGTTAGCCGCAGCACGATCCGTGTCCAAATCCGAGGCGATTGTGGTGGGCGGTGGAGTGTAGGATACTTGTGAACGATGTGTTTGCACTCGGAACCGTTGAGATTTGGTCACCCCACTGATGGTCACACGATCGTGTGCTGGTCGGGTCCCGTTTACGGCAGTCACATTGTCCTCACTGCGTGATGCACCCGCACTCCCGGTGCTGACTAGGATACTGCCGGTGGAATGATGCCAACGGGATCGGGCAATACGACGATAACTGGCCGAACGTGATCCTGTGGACATTTGCCCGGAGGAAGATCGACCCAAAAGCATATCTGTTATACAAAAGAAACAGTAGAGGGGGAATAGATGAAAATGACAATATATGGCACTAAGAAAACCTTACACAGCCCCCCACCCCGGTTGCCCTTGATAATCAATGGTTTGCTACTGGACGATACAGATCAGAACCAGAAATTGCATACAATAAGAGGTAGTACCTGATTGCAGAACAAAAAGTGTGGTAAGTTAAGCTGAAATTAACTGGATTCTGCGAATTACTCTACGATAACGGAGCAGCGGGAACACGTGAGAATCTCATGCACATGATAGAGACTTATTAGAAAAGTAACGAAACGCTTTGAACCAAGTGAAGGGAATGAATCTGTGTGTGTGTGTGTGTGCGTTAGAGAACTGGTGCAGATGAAAGGCCTGTTGCGAATACAACAATACGAATGATAGATTAGATTACATTGTGTGTTATGCATGTTACCAAACAGGTTGCCACGGTACGCGATGTTTGTCGAGGCAGGTAGTGAGTGGGAAAAAGACAAGGATGGTCAAACTAGGACCTGGCTTGAGGGTATGAAAACCGTAACCAAGAGACTCGGTCACATAGGTCCCGTTAGGTTCCCCGGATGGGGACCACGAGTAGATCCCAACCGCGGTTAGGAGACATTGAATGGAATGGTTGAGTGTCGTGAACCATACGTTTGCTTTCAATACGGATGCCCAGAACGATTTATGGACAACGTGTTGAGAAGTCACCGGTTGCCAAATAAGACCACTACTGCGGAGAAGAACCCGGGTTACATATCGCTTTCAAGGGTGACACAACTGTTGAGATGGCACGTAAACTGAGTACAGTTGTAGAAAAAGCATTGCAAGCAACAAAAACCACTTCTACATTTTCAACTCCGAGATAACTTGTTCGTTTTTGCAGTCTCTTTTTATGTGTACTTATTTACCTGTTTCTGTGCGAAAAGATCTATTGGCCGCACGAGCAGACGTTTATTTGAACGGGTCCGTGGTTGAACAATGGTGTAAATAGGACCAACAACATCTAGATCGTTCCACATCTAGTGGAATCAAACCACGTGGTTCATGTGGCCGAGGCATTTCGAC